CGAGATTCACTCCACTATACAGCCTTTGCTCTGGACTCCTGTCATGACAAAAATACCTAATTACATATCCCTTTTAAACAGTTTTCTTCCTCATCTGATTCAATGCAGTGTACATTATTGAACCCATTTTTCTCCATCTCCCCCAACCCTGATGTCAGTCCTGTTTTACAACAGTGGCACCATGCAGTATTTGTCCTTTTGTGACTGCACTCAGCATAATGTCCTCCAGAGTCACCCATTTTGAATAACATTGCAAGAGTTCCTTGTTTTTCAATGTAGCGTAGTATTCCATTGTGTGAATATACCACAGCTTCTCTAACCATTCATTTGTTGATGGGCACTCAGGTTGTTTCCAGCTCCTTGCTATTGTGAACAAAGCCACGATAAACATGGATTTATCTATGTTAATATGTTAATATGTTTTCTAATGGATGTTAATATTCACTCCTTTTGTAGCAATTGGGGCACTGAAGATGATGCCACCCAGAGTTACCATAATGGGAATTCAGACCCCCGAGGATTTGGTATGTTTGTCTACTATGTGATATATCTGTGTGCACCCATCCAAGATAGTAATAAACCTATTATAACTGTGATTTTTATTTTCAACAACTAATATTTCCAGAAGACTTTAGAATTTAAAGAAAAACTTATTTTGGTTGTTAAGTGCCATTGAGTCAACTATATAACTCATAGTGATCCTATGAATAATGGGTCTGAACCGTGCTCTAATCTGTGCCATTGTGACCATCTCTGACATACTTGAGCCACCTTTATAATCACTGTGTCAGTCCATCTCGTTGACTGTCTTTCCCTCTTTTGCTGACCTTCCCCCTTTCTAAGCACAGTGTTCTTTTTCAAGGACTGGGTCAGTGGTAATCCTGAATTCTATTACTATGTTTCTACTTTTCAGTAAATATTATGAATTACTATATAGCCAACTGCAAGTCTCTTAAATATGTATAATGATTTTTCTTTTTTGATGTGGGTTTTTCTTATTAATAGGTTGAGCTATATGGGCACCAATTACTTAAAATTGCTTCTAATTCATAACAACTAATTAATTAGTTCTACTCAGCCAATTTGATTTTGTTCTTTTATATAGTATAGACTTTGAACTCAATGGATACAATCTGTTTCCAGATACATTTTATTTCTTAAATAAACAAGTTTTGGAAGCCATGCACAGCCTTTGGTATATACTGTCTTGAAACTCTTCCTTTTCCTTCTTATCATCAAAGGTCACATTGGAATTGCCGTTCCTGATGTTTACAGTGCTTGTAAAAGATTTGAAGACCTGGGAGTCAAATTTGTGAAGAAACCTGATGATGGTGAGACCTCTTTTTAGTTAAATAAATCCAAGCACCCATAGAGGGCACCATTGTAGTGAAAATCCTTTTGAAGGGCCAGTATACCGAAGTTTACAACATAGTTGTGTTCCAACAGCCATACTTATGACTATCTAGTTTTTGTCCATCTTGTCATTAGTAATATGTACTGCAGATGATGTTGTAGAAAATTATTTTCTATGTTATCATTCTTAGATGTCCACTCACAGTCATTCAAAGTTACAGTATCTGAAGATGCTTTTAGAAACAAGCAATGTACTTCATACCAATTTAGCTAAAAAGGAAACTGTTATTACAACATCTGGTTTTCTTGGGGAACTTAGGATGGAAAGTAGAGTAGCCTCTCAAAGGACTGGAAGCAAGATCTTGAGAGCCCTTTAAAACCACTGGCGCCACCACATTCTTTTGACCCCTCTTTGTTTCATTGCCTATCATCTTTCACTGTTTGATTATGTGTTTGATCACTCCAACAGAGGTACTTGAAAGTCTATTTTATCTGGTATTAATATACTCATTCCGGCTCTCTTTAGTTAATAATCACCTGCTATCTCTTTCTCATACTTTTGCAACGCTTACATGTCTCTTCCCTCTATGTTGTTGTGTTTAAAATAGCTTACATCTACTGTGAGTCTGGTTGTTCTTGTTTTTTTATTCGTTGCATATTTAGTTTTGTTTTAGAAACTTTTTGTATTTGTTATTGTTTATACTTACTTACCTTCTTCCTAGGAAATTTCCTCAAACTGACATACTAGTTTTTCTTATCTAATACTAGCATCCACTTCCTAAATAACATGCCTCCGGAAACTCTGAACTTTGATAAATGTCCATAGTTGTAGAAGGGCTTCAGGCCTTTTGTTCATAGGGTCACTATGAGTCATGCTCGACTCGAAGGCAATTAACAACAGCAATAATACTTCTTCAGTACATCTAGATTTCTTGCGTTGTTATTAAAATTATTTTACTTAAATCTCTTTCTGCCATTATAATTTATTATTTTCATTTCCTACTTTTTTATCCTTTTTTAAATTAAAATATTTAATATCCACATCTCTCTAATTAGATAAGAACTTATTCTCTTCCATATCCATTTATTATTTTTATTCAGACTACGCTATTACTGATTTATTGTTTATTCTTTTCCTTGGCTTTGAGTTTTTCTGTTGTTAACAACCATATAGAAGTATTTGAGCACTATATATATATATATGTACACATTTTTGTATTGAATTATTCTTTTTATTAATTGTCCCAGTGCAGAATGTTTTCAAGGGTTTATATAGCAAAAAGTTTGCAGATTTATAAACTGAGATTATTTTTATCATATTTTCATATGTGAATGACAGTTTGATTGGATGTAAAATCCTCATCTTATTTTCCTTCAATCTTAAAAACACAACTCTATTGTCTTTTTGCATCTGGTATCACTGTTGAAAAATCTGCTGTCTGTTTTAGTTTTGTATTCACACATTCAGTTTGTTCTGGAAGATTTTGTATTTGTTACTGTTTGTACTTAACTTTCTTCCTAGGACATTTTTCTCAAACTGACATACTGCTTAGCTAATTTTTTTCGAATTACCATTTCTATATTTATCTATTGTGTGTTAAGTTGCACTGCCAATCCAAAGGCATGTGATTCAAACCCACTAGGTGTTCAGGGAGAGAAACATGGACAAGGTTCTCCTGTGTGATTTACAACTTCTGAAAACTTGCTGGAGAGCCAGCTATGAAGGGTTTCCAACTCAACAGCACAAAGGAACATCAGCCCAGAGCATTATCAACTGTTATTTACATCCCAAATTTTTGTTGATTTCTTTAATGATCCTTTTTCTTATTTCATATTGCTCATAACTTCTGCATGTTTTAATATCTTGGTTCATTTGTTCTTACATTTCTCTTATTCAGATCTGTAACCTATGCTTTATTTTATTTTAATCTTTTTTCCCCTCAAATTCTTTGAACCTCTGAACTAGTTTTTCCTGGGACTATTGGATATTCCAGTCCATCAAGCTGCCCAGTTCTTAATAGACCTAATGATATCTGAAAGACAAGCTCTGAAAGACTGGATGAATCCAAGGTGGAGATCTTGAGACTCCTTAAAATTCACTCTAAGCACCTAATACTCTGCTAAACAACTCATTAGGTCAGCTCTTCTTCCTTTATCCCTCAGAAGCAAGCACTATGAGCAGGAGGCACTCCTTAAATTGTAATCCTTAACTTTGAATGTATGGCATAGGACATTTGCAGAGAGCTATTGCTTCTCATCTTTTTTTTTAGTTCCTCAAGCACAACGTGTATGTGCTGCCATTATTAATTCATGAGAACAACTAAACCATTAGTTTGAGCTACTTACACTGAAACAACTTTCAATTTTCAGTGTATATTTGGCTAACCAACAATAAGCCCCTTAAAGTCTTTTGTCTGAGGTTAACTGTAGCACACCTATAGGTGCAGAGGCAGATGCTGATACCAGAACACTTGAGTGAGTTTTTATTCTCCCACAGCCATGAAAAACAGTATTTTGTCCAGACCACAACTACCATGTAGACTGGGCAAACTCATCACAAAGCCTCTAGAGTTTGTCGTCCTGCTACCATCATTATCCATCCTTGTTTTCAGGGATTGATTTGGAGGGCAAACTAATTTAATATTATGTTTTCAAAACAAATTTCTGATGTCTCATTTTTGAAATTGATGCAAACAACTCTGATCTAGAAGCATCTCAGTCCCACTTAAGAATTCTTGAGTTAAAGAATGTGATTGGGAGAGGTGAAGTTTACATAGGAGAGTCTTTAAGGGGTTTATATGATCCAAGTGTCTGGATGTGTTGTCTGTGTCAATAAACTGTGTCACTCTGTATCCCTGAGCACCTCCTTGTTCTCTTTTCCTTCTTAAAATGAGACAATGTCTGTGACTACTGAAATGTCACCCTGAAGGTGAGGTAATTACCTGCCATCTTAAAGATACAAGCAATCCCAAAATTTACTTTCAAGATGGTTTGCAGCTGTGAGTGGAAGATAAAATTGTAGTCAATCAGTAAAATACACATTTGGCTAAAACTGACAGTAGATATTTTTTTTAATTAAAACTATAGACAGAACAATCTACTTCATTAAAATATAATGCAAATTTGAATTCATAAAGGATATATTTGAAAATGTTAAGGTTTGGAGTTTTTTCTTTTTCAAGTTTTGTAATAAGAAACTATTTCATTTTACAGGTAAAATGAAAGGCCTGGCATTTATTCAAGATCCTGATGGCTACTGGATTGAAATTTTGAATCCTAACGGAATGATAACTATTATCAATTCTTGAGAATACTGCTCTGAGATTTCAACAAAGATAGAGAGGGTTTAGGTAGGAAAATAATGTGATTCAAGATATTCAAACTAGAAAAGCATCTAAGACTGATAGATCATTGTCCCAATTTAAATTATCCTTAAGTTCACTTCTCTTTCCTGTTGTTTTCTACTTCTTTATTTTCTGCCATTGTTCCGTTATTTTGGTGTTTAAGTATTGCTTTAACTTATGTCCTTGAATATAGTTGTATAACTTTACATTTCTAGGAAATAATTAGAACAGTTCCCTTTAGAGCCTGTATTTGCCTTCTTTTATTACTAAATATGACTTCTCTTTAAGGCTTTCTTTGAAAATTCTCCCTTAAAAAAAAAGAGAGACAGAAAAGAAACCATTTAGCTGTTTTTGTTGTGCCATCTTTTGGGGTTTCAATTCCTCAGAAATAACTTTTCACAATGGCAAGTAAGAAACACTGAACAAAAATGAAACTTTGTATGTACTTCAAACAGTATAAAATGTTTATTTTACAAAAGAGAAGATGCTCCTGGGAGTAGTTCAGAATTACGCTGACAAAGATGCTCATAGAAGATTAATTTATTTCATTATAAAATATTCTCAAAGTTCAAGGACTAACCTCATTTATTTATGGTGGGGAATGGATAGAAATAATATTAGCTCAGTATCCAGACAGTAGACTAGGCCATACATACTGTATCTCATTTATAATCCTCATAACTATCCTATGAAATAGAATGTAGGCTAAGCATGTAAAATAATGTACTGAAAACAATGTAAATAGATTCACGTATCTAAAATACCATCATTATTTTTAGTATTTAGATTGTATCTTAAAACTTAGTACCTCACAACACCTCTTTCACAAGTCTCTGTACAAACTTTTGTTAGATTTGAACAGTGCCCTCCCAGCGGTCAGGTCTGAGGACCACCTGGAAGGAAAAGGCAGTGGAGGAAGTCTGTAGCACTGACTGTTCTGGGACACCCCAGTTATTCTTGTAGAAGTGGTGCTTCTGTAATTTGTGAAGAATTACCACTCCATGCTGCCATTACTTATGACTTATGCATTATGTTCAGTGGCAACTTAGTTATCAAAACTCAGCTTGAAAAAAAACCCCTCAGCTTGGTGGATTTCTTTGTCACAACTGAGATTTGATTGATTTTAAACATCAAAATGATTATGAAAATGTCTTGTAGTTCTAAGAACTAAAGCATCTATTTTATGGTTTTACTATGCTTAGATTTCTCCCCCCACCCCAAACTCTAGTGGAGGAGCATTGGGTAGACCATGTCAGTTGTGCTTGCACTGTTAAAAGTATTGTATCCTTTTGGGATGGAATGGGTTTATGTGAGCAATTCAAACAAATAGTAATGCTTACGGATTTAAATAAAACATACTTTTAAATGATTAATTTTCAGCTTCTTTCTTTTCTTTTTTTTTTAAAAAGCAACTGCCCTCAAGGAACACTGCAAGGATTTGAAAGGGCTTATGGACTCATTTTCAACTGGCAATAATTATAATCTATATAACCTATAGGGTCTTTTGGAGTTACCTATGACTTGATGGCACTTAGCAACAACAACATAGAGAGAGCTCTGTTGGCCTACTGGATAGAAAGTTACGCTACCAAGCCAAAGGTGGGTGAAACCCGATGAACTTGGAGAAATGATTGAAATTATACAAGTGTTCAGGTCTTTTTGTTAATAGGATCACTATTAGTCATCTATGACTTGACAGAGCTTAACAATATAACCTATAAACCTATATCCATAACGTATATGAATATTTCAAAAGGTATCTTAGGAAGACAAAGTAAAATATTACAGTGAAATGTGTAAGGAGATGGAGTCAGAAAATCAAAAGGGCCGAACTTGCTAAACATTTCTTAAGCTCAAGTAACTGAAGAACAAATTCACACCTCAAGTTGCTATAATCAAGGATGCTTTAGGCAGAATATTAAATGATCCAGGAAGTATTAAAAGAAGATGGAATATACTGAGTCACTGTATCAAAGGAATTGGCAGATACAGAAGAATTTCACAAAACAACATATGATCAAGAACCTATGGTGATTAAGGAAGAAGTTCAAGCTGCTTTGAAGGAAATAGTAAAAAGGCCCCAGGAATAGATGGTATACCACCTGACATATTTCAGCTAACAGATGCTGCCCTGGATGTGCTCACCAAGTTGTGCCAAAAAATCTGGAGAACAACCACTTGGCCAACTGACTGGAAGAGATCTATATTTGTTCCCATTCCAAAGAAGGGTAACCCAACAGTGTGGAAATTATAGAACAGTATCATTGTATTCACATGCAAGCAAGATTCTGCTGAAGATTATTCAAAAATGACTGGAACAACACATCAGCAGAGAACTGCCAGAAGTCCAGGCTGGGTTTAGAAGGGGTCGTGGTACTAGGGATATTCTAGCTGATGTTAGATGATCTTGACTGAAAGCAGGGAATACCAGAGGAATGTATATCTGTGTTTCATTGATTATGCAAAGACACTTGACTGTGTGGATCATAACAAACTGTGGCTAACTCGGAAGAATGGGAATCCCAGAACACTTGATCACGCTAAGGAGAAACCTATACTTGGACCAAGAGGCAGTCGTCACAACAGAGCAAGGAAACACTGCATGGTTCAAAATTGGGAAGGGTGTACATCAGAGATGTATCCTATTTTCATACCGTTTCAACCTATATTCAGAACAGATTACCCGGGAGGCTGGACTCTACGAGGAGATGTGTGGCATCAGGATTGATAGAAGATTCATCAACAATCTGTGTTATACAAATGACACAATCCTGCTTGCTGAAACTGAGGAGGACCTGAAGGGCTTGCTGCAGAGTGTCAAGGACTGCAGCCTCCAATATGGATTGAGGCTCAATGTCAAGAACACAAAGATTCTCAGCACTGGACCAACTGGTAGCATCAGGATGGATGGTGAAGAGATTGAGATTGTACACAGCTTTAGTTTGCTTGGCTCCATAATCAACACTCTTGGCACCAGCAGCCAAGAAATCAAAAGGCATATTGCAGTGGAAAAGTCTGCTCTTAGGGATCTCTCCAAAGTACTGAAGAGCAATGGTGTCACTCTGGAGACTAAGGTGCGTCTGATACAGGCCATGGTCTTTGCAGTTAGTTGTTATGCATCAGAGAGTTGGACAATGACTAGGGAGGATAGAACGAGAATTGATGCCTTTGAGCTGTAGTGCTGGAGAAGAGTATTGAATGTACCATGACTGCTAAGAAAACAGGTTCATCCTGGAGAGGGTTAAGCCAGGCTGCACCTTGGAGGCAAGGATCCTGAGGCTTCGTCTGACATACTTTGGACGTGTTGTAAGGAGGGGCCGGTCCTTGGAGAGGGACATCATGCTTGGTAAGTTGAAGGGTCAGCGCAGGAGGGGAAGACCCTCTATGAGGTGCATTGATTCAGTGATTGGGGTAATCAGGGTGGGTGTGTTGGAGACAGATTGGTACAGGACAGCTGGGTTTAGGGCTGTTGTACATAGGGTTGCTATGAGTCACAAGTGACTTGACGGCACATAACAACATATGAATATGGTAAAAGTAAGGAGAAGAGAAGATATTAAGGGGGAAAAGGGCCAAATTGGAAAAGGTGAACCATAGGAATGATGGGGACTAATTTTCACATACTGCACTACTGGCCTGATGAAACCCAAAGGCAGGGGATTCAAATCTACCAGCCACTTTGCAAGAGAAAGACAGGCAGTCTCGTCCTGTGTAAATTAAAGCCCCTGAAAACCCACTGGAGGGGCATCCATGCATCAGTTCCAACTTGAAAGCAGTGACAGAATTTCACATGTTGAGTATTAGGATTATCAAGTGGAGAGAGTTATTAGATTTTGTTTAACTCATTTCCAAGGAAAGAACTCTTTGTACTTGCTTAATAAAATTTGCCAAAATACTGAAAATCAAGTCCATTGAGTTGACTTGACATTGACTCATGGCATCCATAGGATGCAGCCCCATTGGGATTTCTCAACTGTTAATCTTTACAGACTGTAATCAGTGCCCATGGAACAACAATGAAGAAATCAAATAATGTATTGTTTTGGGCAAATCTATTGCAAAAGATGCAAAATCTTTGCAAAAGCAAAGATGTCTTTTTGAAGACTAAGGTGTGCCTGACCCAAGGCATGATAGTGTCACTTGCCTCATATGCATACAAAAGCTGGATAATAGGAAGTCTGGAAAAGAATGAATGCCTTTGAATTATGATGTTAGTGAAGATCTTTAAATAGACCATGAACTTCCAGAAGAATGAATAAATGTCTTAGAAGAAGTACAAGAATGTTCCTTGGAAAAGATGGTAAGACTTGGTCTCACATATTGTGGACATTAGGAGGGAGAGTGCCTGGAGAAGAGCATCATGAAGAGAACTCAACAAGAGGCTCGATTAAAGCAACAGTTGTGAGGACAGTACATGACGGGGCTGTGGGGCTTTGTTTCATTTTGTTATATAATAGGTTGCTCTGAATTGAAACCCAACTCAAAAGCACCACCAACAATAGTTTTCACAAAAGTAGATCTTTATTCCAGAATATTGCTAGGTGAGTTTGAACTGTCAGTCTTTAGAGGAATAGACAAATACAAACCATTAGAGTCACCACATATCATTAACATAGAACCCTTGTTTATTCCTTAAATCCATTGCATCTATTGCACTTAAGGAAAAAAGATTGCTAGACTTTTCGAGGAATTAGAACTAAACCCACTGCCACAGGATTCTGACAGGACTCTCCTTTGGGGTTCCAGGCTGTAAATCTTTATTGAAGGGGTCAGTAAGCAGCACTACCCCAGGGAGTAAGAGAATATTTCCATATTAACCTGCCTGAGATGTGATTGTGGAATGGTGAAGTAGGCCACAAAAATATCATGTTCCTCTCCATGACTGGACATGTGACTTCCTGTTAATGAAAAATAAATTAGTAGTCTCCCATGAGCCCAACACAGCTAAAACCAGGACTCTGTTT